TAGTAGACCAGTAGGTGTCACTCTGTCTCTCTTCTGTATCAGGAGATGTCACTCTGTCGTCTGTCTGGATCAGGAGAGTACCACCAGTGCCTCTGGTGTTTGAACAGGACTGCTGTGCCGCAGGAAGTGCAGTCGAGACTTCACACATGGATCCGAACAGCTGGTGGTTCTCAGTTGTCTTAGGGTAATATTTAGCCCTGTCACACAGAGGTCTCCAGTTCTGATGCTGGACCACCCCGAATCCAGTAGGTCTAACTGGTTTCCCTAATTCGCCCATTCCTTAAGATAAGGAACACTTGTAGGTTATCAACCCATTAAGGGAGTAATTTGCAACACCAATCCTCGACAGCTGAAGACCATTTGGAGTTCTGTGGTCACGCGATCCCCTGGGTGATGCATTTAGCCAATCAGCAGAATAAAGAGCGCTGATAAATGGCTCTGCGTTGTTGAGGGAAAGCAAGGAGTCGGTTCAGACTCGTAGATGCAAAGGCACTTGGAGAGCCTCAAGGAGAGAGGTTGCACTCATCCAAGGACATTCCCATTCCTCGGGATCTCCCAGTGCCTTTTATTTAGGAACAGACTAAATTTTCAATCCCAGTATGGTCTCTTCCTCTATCACATACATAGTATGTGCAGACCGATGCCTACCTACTTGTACACAATTTCCATTTCCTTGTGGTCTTTCCTCTGATGGCCTTCTCTGCCAGGAGCCCGAGAAAAAGATGAACAGGAACCTCTCTCCTCCTGCCTGTTCTTCAGACCTCCTCTGATAAGACCCAGCGGTTTGCAGCAGCCAGTCATGCAGAGTCATGCCCCTGACATTGTCCCTCACTGCCCTTTGAGACGGAAGCCCTACTGGTCATCTAGATGGAAGACCTGCAGGGCTGGGATCTCTCCAGCGCCAGGAGAGGACACCTGGGGAACCCCCCTCTCCCCAGGTCCCTCCTCTCCTCCATCCACTCCTGCCACTCCTGGACGAGCTGGGATTCCCCGGCTCGTGTCCTGTGTCCCGGGAAGGGTCTCTTGTCCCGCCCAGAGTGTGACACACCTCCCGGTCTACGCCAGTCCTGGCCGCCCGGGGCGACTCAAGTGTGGTCAGAACCGGGCAGGTCACCCCAGCAGGGAGGAGGGGAGAGTACCTGCATTTGGGGAGAAATCGAACCCCCTCCTTACCTGTGAAGCGCTTGGGGGTCCTTTGAGACAAACATTACCTTTCAGCTGCAGGTCCCTGTTGTGGTTGTGATCTGTGGTAAAACCAGGCACAGAAGGGAGAGATTAACTCCGGAGGAGCCTGGACTACACAACCCCACGCCCCAGCCTACTGACAACTCCGCACCAGGGAGGTACTTTGTGTTAATGGGGCTCTCGCAGGCTCTGAGTGGGTGTCTGAGGGGAAATCCAAGCCAAAGTAACCTTTGCTGTACCCTGGCTGCAGTGCAGAAGCCTGGCTTGTGTCTGTAATGGCTGCCTGCACCGTGCAAACTGGCCGATCTTTCCCTCTCTTGTTTCTCTCTCTCTCTCTGGCGCCATCCGTGCCCTGCCGCTGTACGACATAGTAGGGTGGGGGGAGGGGTCACACATGCCTGAGCTACAGACCTGTGCTGCTGCTCCTGCACGCTGAGCCCCGGCCCCTTTCCGGTGCCAACTGCTCCCCCCTGCTGGCGCCCCCGGCGGGTGACGTCATCAACGCGCGCCGGTGGTTTTTCTGATCGAATATATTTTCTTTGCTCGGGGCTGCCGAAGAAGGAGGAGGAGGAGGAGGAGGGGGGGGTGGTGCTGCGCGCCACATTGTTCGTGCAGTCGCGCCGCCGAGCGTGGAAAAAGGAAGAGAAAGAAAGCAAGGCAAAAAGAGAGAGAGAGAGAGGGGAGGGGAAAAAGGGCGAGAGGTTGCTTTATTTTTTTCTTTTCCACTGTGGGAAGTCGGAATCGCCATTCGAGGAGGGGAAGGGAGAGGATGTCGGAGGAGAAGGGGTAGCGCCTGTGTCTGCAAGCGGGCACAGTGGTACCGATTCGGGGCGGGCAGGCACGGTGAGTAAGCGCTCTCAGGAATGTGCTCCTGCATTTCAGCCCTCCTGACGGGTGGGCTGCAGAAGCGGCAGTCGCCAGGCAAGGCGCCGTGTCTGGCTGCGGAGCACGCCGAGGACTAACGGAAGTGTGATTTTGCGCTGGCAGAGGAAGAGGGAGACATTTGTGAAACCCCCACCCCCGTTTCTGTGCGAATGGCCGTCGGGTCCGTTTCGCTTCCGAGCCGAACCGGACCGAACCCGAGGGCTCCCTCCACCCAGAGCGCAATCAATCACAAAATTATTATTTTTCGTTACAGTCGGCGTGGGCAGTTTCTGTCTGCCTCTCTCTCTCTCTCTCTGCCCGCCTGCACTCGTGTCTGGTGCGGACGGGATCGGTTCTCCCGTCCCGTCGGGCTCCCGGTCTCGCAGAACCCGCAGGGCGGAGTCGGCGCGGCGTCCCGACTTGTTTGAAAAATACGATTCGTTTTTATTTTTCTTCAGCTGCAGTTCTGCTCATGCTCAACCGCTTCCAAGTGTGCAGCACGGTTTCCCGGTATCGGCTCTTTCCCGCAGAGCAATGCAAGGTTTCTGGAAATTATTACAAATCACTGTGCTGATCAGTTTGTATGTGTTGGACATCTTCCGTATACATTTATTTTATTCTCCAATCCTTGATTTGCTCTGGATTTTACACTGCAGGCCCTTTTTAGGACTAGATAACAAAAATGGTGTCGATTTTGGTAGTTATGATAACAATGAAATTAATTGTTATCTATTTAGTTAGGATTTTTCAATGGAACTTTTTACATTTCAAAAATATCTCGATATAGTGGACATTAATGTGTTTATCGGTCATGATGCAGTGTTGCTGAAAGTTGGTTTTGGCTAAATAAGTCTCCCTTCAATAATTCTTGTGTAAACAAATGAAGACGTGAAAAACAGTAAAACTATAGCTGTTGGACACTGTGTCTGTCTAGTCTTCTGCACTGGGACTGGACAGTCCTGCAGGCACACTTGCTGGTTCTCCAGGACTCAAGATTCAAACAGCTGTCATCCTGGTCCTGGAGGGTCAGTCAGTCAGTCAGTCAAAGCATGGTCTAATAAGACTGGACCAGCTGTCATCCTGGTGTAACAGGACTGGACCTGAACCACTGGACTGGCTGTCCTCCTGGTCTAACAAGACTGGACCTGAACCACTAGACCTGCTGTCCTCCCAGTGTAATATGACTGGACCTGAACCACTGGACCAGCTGTCCTCCCTGTGTAACAGGACTGGACCTGAACCACTGGACTGGCTGTTCTCCTGGTCTAACAAGACTGCACCTGAACCACTGGACCAGCTGGTGTAACAGGACTGGACCTGAACCACTGGACCGGCTGTCCTCCTGGTCTAACAAGACTAGAGCATCTTAACCAGTGGATCACTCTGCCTCAGTGTGCATGGCTGAGTGCACTGTGAGCTGTGGAGAATAGTGCTGCCGGGTCGAGCTGAAGTGAATGATTTCACTGTTGTCTCCACCCATAGAAGCTCACTGAAGCCCCTTTCTTTGTGCTGTTTGGCAGACTCTTCCCTGGACCAGCTCTCCTTGCCATCAGCTGTCTGGAGTCTCGAGGACCGGACATCTGCGCCACTCCAGGTGGGTACCAGGACGCTTTCAAGAGGTGGTGTGCCAGAGAGTCCCCCAGGAATGCTGTGTCGAGCGTCACCAGCGCCCTGGTCCTTGAGCTGCTTGGGGTACTGGGGTGCGTGGACTGTGAAGTGTAAAAAGGGGGCAAGTTCAGTGGGTCTGTGCATAACATGTTGGAAGGGGGCGTGGCTCACATGACACATGACAGAAGTGGGTGTGGCTCAGTGGTTAAGTACACATGTCGGAAGGGGGCGTGGCTCAGCGGTTAAGGACCCATGCGGGAGGGGGGCGTGGCTCCACGGTCAAGTGCACATGACAGAAGTGGGCGTGTCTCAGTGGTTAAGTACACATGACAGAAGTGGGCGTGTCTCAGTGGTTAAGTACACGTTGGAGGGGGTGTGGCTCAGTGGGGGGTATTGAATGGGGGCGTGGCTCTGACAGGTGACAGGTGAGCGTGACCCTGGAGCATAACTGCCTTCCTCCTGCTCCAGTCCAGGATATCCATCCATCCCTCCGTCCATCCTTCACTGTCTTATTCCTTCACTTTATCCAGTTCAGGAGCTGCAGGCCTTGCCGTCCAGCAGTGGGTGGGGGTGTGGTACGCCCTGGCCGGGATGCAGGCTGCTGCAGAGCAGACACACACACCAGGGCCAATTGTCTCAGACACTGTAGCACCCCAGATTCGGAGCTGAACCCCTGGGCCCTGTGGCACCCCAGTGCAGCACATGCAGCCGGAAATGAACAGTTCAGCAGTTTGCCCGTTTCAGAGTGCCAATCTAGACTTGAGAAAAAACCCCGCGCTTGTCGAATGGAAACTGCGCAGCCCTGTGGTTAACCACGAGCGCGAGCCTCTGTCTCTGTCGCCGCGCGGTCTGCTGTCCCCGGCGGTACAGATGGCGGGAAGGAGGTATTAATTCGTGAATGACGATTGTGTGGTAAGGCGTCTTCAGATCGCCCCGACTCCTGTTTCCTGTGGAAGGAGATTCTGACAGTGAGTAACAGTCTTACCCCCCCCAGTCTAGTGTTACAGTAGAGCCGGGGATAGCTGGGTGTCACACAGCGGGAGGTATCCGTCTGGATTCTCTGGAGACAGCGGGACAAACGGGGACCGGGCCTGGACGGGACAAAGAACAGGCCTGACCTGTTCCCCACGCAGTCATTCTGCTGTCTGCAGACCTGGGGACCCCAGGATTCTCCCCGCAGTCGAGACTGAAGGCAAGGGGGTGATAGGACCCCCAGAATCTTCAGACCGCTGGCTCCTTTCTTCTGGGGGGCGGGTGGGGGTCCGAGGGCCTGGTCACGCCTGGCAGCGTGACGACGAGAGCCCTGGAGTGCCCCCCCGCACCTCGTCAGTATCCCCCTCGGTTCACTTGGCCATGGATGCCAGGATCTCATCCAGCTGGATTATCGGCTTATGCCACGTGGCCGGGCAGCTTGTTCCCAACACCCATCACAGGACAGACACACTCACACCTCCTGGACAGGACACCAGTCCATCACAGAGCAGACATAGACACACACACACACACCTCCTGGATAGGACACCAGTCCATCACAGAGCAGACATAGACACACACTCACACCTCCTGGACAGGACACCAGTCCATCACAGAGCAGACATAGACACACACACTCACACCTCCTGGACAGGACACCAGTCCATCACAGAGCAGACATAGACACACACTCACACATCCTGGACAGGACACCAGTCCATCACAGAGCAGACAGACACGCACCAGAGCCAGTTTTCCCAGAAAACAAGTAACCCACCAGCATGTCTTTGGAAATAGGAGCACCCAGAGGAAACCAGTGCAAACATGGGGGGAACATACAAACTCCAGACACCCCAGGATCCGCAACCAAGGCAGCACTGCGAGCTAATTACTGGGCCACCACCACCTGCGCGTTGCTCCTTAATGAAGCTGACCGTCACAGAGCCATAAACGGGTCTGCGAGGTGCTGAAGCTGTTTGACTGCGCGTGTCCGTGTTGGGCATGAGACCGCGGCGGCACTGACCATGTAATCCTGTTGCGTTTCAGGACTTTGACACCCAGGACATCCCAACCCTCGCCCCTCCCCACCGAGAAGGAGCATGGCGCACCACGCTGGGGGTGACGTCAGGTTGCGCCCCAAGCCTCTGGGGGGGGAGGGCGTGGCGGCGGCGGCGGCGGGGGGGGGGTCAGACGAGGACCTCACCAGACACATCGAGAACCTGATCGCCCAGGAGCTCGGCGCCTGCTGCCTCTCCGACCTGGAGAACTCCTCGGAGCTTTCCCAGCCCCTCCCGGAGGCGGGGTGCAGGAACGAGGGGGCTGCCCCCCTGGGAGAGACCGCGGCGGCTCTGGCCCTGCCTTGGCGTGTGTCACAGTCTTCCCAGGGGCCACCCTCCCCGGCGGGACATGGCGGCGGCTCTCCACTGTCCTCTCCGACAGATCCCCAGCCCGCAGTGGCTGCGGCTCACCACAGCACGGCGCCAGCGGGCACCACGAACAGCGCCTCCTCCTGGAACATGGATCAGTACTCGGATGTCAGCAGCTGCTCTGAGCCGGACACGGACAAGACGCTGGAGGAGTGGGGTGCGTGGGAGAGAGAGGGGGCGCTGTCGCCACTCTGGCAGGCCGCCTCTAGCCTTTCGCAAAACAGTTTGCCGGACCTCCTGGACATCGGGGCCGCGGAGGGCGCTGATCCCGAAAAGGGCCGCGGGAGGGAGGTGTCCCTCTCGGAGGAGGAGGGTGGAGACGGCCCGGCGGAGTCTCTCGCCTGTGCGGGAGATCCGTTGCCCTCCCCGCTGGCTGCTGGGAGAGCCGGGACCGGAGGTGGCGTCGGGCCGGGGAGCTCGTCCTTGGGTGTGGGCGTGCCGACGAAGGTGCACCGCGCCCTGGACAGCGCCGGGAGCCCGCTGGACCAGTATTCCAACATCAGCAGCCCCCCCGAGGGCGAGGACGAGGACAAGAGGTCGTTCTCCGGAGAGGATGCCGACGACGATGACGACGACGACGACGACAATCCGAGGCTTCGGCGGCGACCGGTAGACCCTAAGCAAACGCAGAAGTCAGGTGCTGAACCCAGTGCCGACTGTCCGCAGGACAACGACTCCAGCTGCGGCCCTGTGGAGGCTGCTCCTGCCGGGGCTGAGAGCACTGGCCCGGAACCGCCAGCAGGGGGCGACGGTGAAGCGTGCCGGCACGCTCCCGACATGGCAGAGCAGTATTCCGATGTCAGCAACTGCTCGGCCGGGGTTCCGGGCAATGACCTCCCCGAGCCGGAGAGAGACAGCGGCCCGGATTCTCCGCAGGAGAGGGTAGGAGATTTGGAGAGAGAAGAGCCTAGCTGCTTATCCGAGGAAGCTTGTCAGCCTTGGCAGCGGGAAGAGGGGGATTCCGGGACGGCCCGGAGAGACCTGGACGATTCTACATCCAAGGGTGATCCTGGTCCACCCAGACTTGTCGTGATGGATCAGGAACCCGGCAGCAGGGGCATGGCAGAGGAAGACCGAATTGTGAGCCCGACTCCTCGCCACTTGGGCGTCGAGCCAGAGCCTCCAGTGCTGGTGTTCTTGGAGCCCCAGTGCCGGCCCCCCGCGGCGACTGGGAAGGAAACTCCGCCATCCCATAGCTCCGCCCACGACGGCGCCGGGGAGCACAGAAAGGAAACGAGCCCCGCGCGGCCAGGAAGCTCGGCGACGCGCGAAGGAGGAGCCAAGCTCGCCGGCGAGGAAGAGGCGACGACCGGGAACGGTGGCCAGGACGAGGGAGCGGACGGAGATGTCGGCCTCGCCTCGCTTGCAGGGGGTTTATCGACGGCCAGCGACTCTCCCGCCAGGGACGACGCCTCTTATCCTGAGCGGGCGGGGAGCGGAGCACAGGACGGAGGTCCCGGCGCGGCGCGGTCTTTGGAATGCCCTGAGGGATCCAGGCGGGAGTCGGGAGATTCAACAGCGCAGGAAGGGATCGCAGTGAGCTCCCCCGTGATCCGGGATGATCACGGAGGAGTGGAAGACCGCGGAGCTGAGGAGGAGGGGGAGGCTTGTCGGCCTCCTGCGGGAGAGGCAGGAAGTGTCCCAGCTGACCCGCCGCCGGTAGCTGCCGGCCCCCGAGGGACCCCGGAAGCAGCCGCGAGTTTTGCTTCGCCTCGCCGGGTGCAGAGGCTGCTGTTCCCGGTGGTCGTCCTGAAGAAGTCCCCCCGGCCGGAGAGCGGGAGGATGGTCTACCGCTGTGGCCAGTGCCACGAGAGGGTGGCGGACCTGAGCCGGCTCATCGAGCACCACCACGTCCACGCCGGCCCCCCGCCCAGCCTGTGCTCGTGCACGACCTGCGGCAGGTTCTTCACCAGCGAGGGCCTCGCCCGGGCACACCTCTGTGGGCAGTGGCGGGGCAGCGGGGCCCTCCTCTTCTCCGGTGGCGGCGGCGGCGGCGGCGGGGGGGGTCAGCCGGGGGCGCCCGCGTGGGGCAGCGGTGGCCGGATGAAGTGCCGGCACTGCAGCCTGCGCTTCCAGCGGCGGTACGAGCTGCACAAGCACGAGAGGAAGCACACCGGCGTGACCCCGTACCGCTGCAAGCAGTGCGGGCGGTACTTCGCCCAGAGCTCCAGCCTGAACCGGCACATGAAGTCCGCGGCGCTGGGGGGGAAGTGGAGCACCTGCAAGCCGGGGAAGTCGGAGGTCGCCGATGGCGAGGAACAAGGTCCCCGGTTCACCTGGATCCGAAAGCCTCCCAAGATCCCGCCCGGCCACCCTCACGCCTGGATGGCCAGGTGCTACGTGAAGCTGGTGGACTTCCGGCGGGGGCCTGGGGAGCGGCCGGGCCCCGCCGCCGCCGCCGCCCATACCGCGGGCCCCCACGTCTGCGGAGTGTGCGGGAAGGCCTTCCGGAAGCAGTCGCTGCTGCTGGTGCACAGCCGGGCCCACGCCGACGAGAGGCCCTTCAAGTGCTTCACCTGCCCCAAGACCTTCAAGTTCTCCTGCAACAGGTACTCGCACATGAAGCTGAAGTGCGCCGGCAGCGCCGCCCACCGGGCCCGCCTGATGGCCCGGCTGAAGAACGCGGAGGGGGGTCCGTACAAGTGCGTCCTCTGCCCCCGCCTCTTCAAGTACTCCTTCAACCGCCTGCGCCACATGCGGCACCAGTGCCTCAAGGCGTTCGCCCAGCGGGGGCTCGGCCGGAAGGGCGGGCTGTTCAAGTGCGCCCTGTGCTCCAGCACCTTCTCCAACACCTCCAACCGGAACCGGCACATGCGGCAGGTCTGCCTCAAGGACCTCACCCGCCGGGAGCAGCGGCGGGCCCGCAAGGACGCGCCGGACCCGCCGGACCCGCGGAGGCGGCAGGAGCTGCAGAGCTGGCGCGAGCGGGGCAAGGCGGACCTCCGCCACCCGTGCCCCCACTGCCCGCGGACGGAGATGTCGGCCTCGCCTCGCTTGCAGGGGGT